GGCGGCTGGCGTCGGGCTGGAGGCGGTCGGTCGCCTGTGGTTGGAGTTGCACTGGCTGCCTCCTCTCGGTGGGGAAGAGTTGTTGTGTGAGGCTGGGGCGGGCGGCCCCGGCTTTTATACGCTCCAGGCGGCCCCGGCTCGCCAATGAGCTGAATGGAGTCCCACACAAACAGGGACATTCCTAGCATTCCTCCCCACCTTCCTGCCTCATCAACTCACACCGGATTGATCCTGACCCCTTGACACTCAGCATTCCTCCCGTCTGAAAAAGCTGGCACACTCCAGCTCTCCAAAAAAAAAAAAAGGCTCAGTATTTCCAGCACCAAATAGGATTTTTCCCCCTTGCTTCTTCGCAACGCTCCTGATTTATATCATTTAAAAACACATCAGCAATTATTATTATTTTTATACCACTCACTTCGCTTTCTAATAGCTGTGCCTGTTCTGCCGCCTGACAAATCCTTAGGATGTAGGTGGCTAAAGGGGCTAACAGCAGGGATTCCTAAAAAATTCGAAAGGGTTTCCTCTTTATTAATCTTGCAATGATTTTAATTTTAGAGGCTGTCTGCCTCTGAAACTCTTCAGAGAGCAGAAGAGGAGTTAGTTGCTTTTTAGCGGAAATCCCCAAGAAACCTGCCTGCAAAACCCTGAATGCCACTGGACACCTAGGACTTTGATCTTTAGGGTCTTGGGATAACGGTTTGGTTGCCCATTGCCAGACAAGAAAGAGAACACAGCCAGAGGTCTGAGTGCATGTGCAGCTTTCTGGGGGAGATTTCCAGCACTCTTGCTTTGTTTTCTCTTAACTCATGTAGCAGTTTTATTATTGGGGTAGAGGGAGGGAAAGCAGATGAGTGGGCATCCATATTTCCAGAAGAATGGTCTTCTTGTTATGTCAGAGCAGATGATTATGTATTGGTAGGCAGAGGCTCTGGATGTTGGGGCGAGAACCCAGGAGTGGGAAGAGAGGGGAATCAGACAGGAGCGGGCCAGCAAGATGCTTGGGGCTTACTGGGGGTGTTGAAAACACTGTTGTGGGTCTTTGAGAAATGAGTGATTTTTCTTACACTCAACCCTATAATATTCAAATGTGGATTATCCTTGGTTTGTCTTGCAGTAAAATATCTGTTTATATAACGAGAACAGTGTCCTCCATTTACCTGGCTATGAATTCAGAGTGTCAGTGAATAATATATTTTAGTGACTCTCCACCCATTTATGAATAGTGATTGTAACTCCTTATTACCGAAGGAGCGTGCAGTCCACTGGGATGAGATCAGGTCAAGGAAAGAACAGTTTTTATTCCCTCTGCTTGTGTACAGTTTTCAAATATGGCCAACAAAGCCTAAGCCCATCTTCACGTCTTAATTTTGCTAGTTAGCTTCACCAAGGACCGAGTTAATGAACTGTGCTTTCATGTGGCAAATACAGTTTAGTTGCTTTTTTGTTAATAGCTCCGGTCACCATGTTATGTAAAGAGAGTGATTCCAGTGCCATCTCAGTGTTTTCTATTGTAATGCCACATCATTTGACAGTGGTGGTACCGATGACTTGTTGATGCTTCATTTTATTGGCTTAAGATACCCATATCTGTTTCTGATGCAGAGACAAACTTTCAGAAACAACACTGTAGATTTATAAGTTGAAAACAGCCTGTGTAAGCTGGCCATATTTTTTCATTTTTTTTTTAAAGTTTCAATTCATTCTGTTGAAAAATAGCCAAGAAAAAAAAACGACACAAAAACACCGCTCCAACTTCAGCAGAGACCGACCGCATCATCTGTGCACAATTACCTTGTTAAGCAATCCACATGTTGTACAGTGTAGTTGCATGTCAACAGTGTGAATGGCCAGCAAAGGGGGCCTCTGAAGCTCAGGAGGAATTTTCATCATTGTTATTTAATGTTCTTTCCAAGCATTCCTCAAAGAGAAGAGGCCTGGACGTTCCTATTTAAAGAAGGAACATTCCAAGTTATGTTAATAGCCGCATGTGTATTAAAGGCAACGTGGCCCCCAACTGCTTCTTCCCTTGTGGATGATTTAAAAAGTCCAAAATATGTGGGAAGCCACAGCGAAATCTTTCAAGACCTAAACCCCCAATTACATCTACCACTAATAGTTGGAAAGGTGTGGTAATGGGGAAGGGTAGGGATGTGAAGTTCTAACCTCACCTAAGGTGGGATGTGGGCTCAGTGGTGAGCTCTCTCAGCTTGCAGGGTGAGGGAGCTGAGAGAAAGGCTGGGAATGTTTGAATCTTCTGGAGAGTCTGAGAGCCACCATCAACAGCTTCGTGTGAAACAGAGTGAAGACGTTCATTCATGGAGGCAATACATTGCTGGACTGGGTTACATTTGTTTGACCTGGGTTGTATTCTTGGAACTGCCATTCACAAATCTTAGGGAAGTCACCAGTAGGAGCCGCCATATTCCCAAGTTTCCATTTATAAAATGATGATAATAATGAGAATTTTTTATTTCATAGGGTTTAATGATGGTTAATTAGATTAATTCTCAGAGACTTGGATTATTATTGTTATTATTATTTAGTCTTCTTGTATTTTCTCTTTCTCCACAAACATAACAAATATATTATCATTCTGCTGTGATGGTAAAAATACCATGACATTGTACATTTTTTACTATAAAATTCACGTTTCCTCAAAGTCGTAAAAGTCCATCACATCTCCAAATGGTGGTTTTAATACTGGCTAAGAGAAAATAAGCATATTGAAATATGCAGAGCATCTCAGGACAGAAAAATACCCTGTGCATTCTAAGGTGTATGATCAAAACTCTTTTGAAGGGTTTAAAGTAAAAGATTGTTATTAAGAGAGAGAGAGAGATGACACCCAAGACATTCACAGACTCAAAAGTATGTTTATATTGTGATACGGATCATCAAGTGCCAGGAAATTCAAAAGGAAGGGCTGACACTCAGTCCCTAACTCATGCCATGGGGATCTGAATTCTTGCACTATTATAAATGACTCAGCAAATGTTTGTGTGTGCCTGGGCGGTAGAGTGGATATAGTGGCTTCTTATAACGTTGTCCAACTCTGACTTATCCCAACCTTTTTGATTGACAGCAGGCCCAGCATTGGGAGAAAAAGGTCTTTGAATTTGTGTACAAAATGGTTAAGACGCACTAATTTTGTCTTGTAAGCAAGTGTTTATCTAGCAAATGCTTTTTAGAGAGCATTTTTTCCCCACCTGGTGAAATGAGGAATTCACTAAGCTGGCCACTGAACCCTGTTTACAGAGCTATATAAGGTATGTGTGTGTCTATGTGGGCATCATTTGTACAGGTCGTTTAGTTAAGTCTTGTAAGATGTTCAGCTGTGGATGTATATTCCTTCTCCTATGTTTTCTGTTGTTGTTACACCCTTAAGAAAAAAAAAAGGTTACTTGATCAGGTATCAGACATGGAGAAAACCTGGCAGGACTACAGGAAAGTTGCCAGACTTGGAGTGTTTGTGTACTTAAAGAAGGAATTTTGCACATTTTCAACTTTGAATCCTGGACATTTTCTTATAAGAGCGAATAGGAGTCTGTGCCAGCCCTCAAAGCGGAAATCAAAGCTCCCAAGGAAACATACCGGAGGAATGTGACTCAGAGCCAAGACACATACGCAATGCATACACCGAACTGTCAGATTTATAGGAAGTCTGGCCGTATAAGGACAGCTGGACAGTGAGCGATTTGTCATGATAGAGGCTTGGGAGTGGGCTTCTGATGTTTCTGGCATGCCACAAATTCAATCATGTACATGAATGTGCCAGAAGGCTTTTTGAAAATTCTAATAAATATTATCTGGAAGACTTCAGGGACCTGGCTTGGTTTACATTGCCTTATATTTGCTTAAGATGAAGGTTAAAGGGAGGGTGTATTCTGGGAGTTCAGAGGTGGGAACGAAGCACAGATGTTTACTATCTAAATTACATTCGTTTCCTTCCTGCTTCTCCTCCATATAATTAGTTCTGTGACTTTCTTAGCATATTTTCTGATGCAAAGGTATTTGTCAGCAGGTAGTCGAAGTTGTTTCATGTGGCCTGGGTTTTATGTTTGCCTGTTCATTTACTTGGAGATGGAGTAGAGGCTAGAGGAGTGAGAAAGGATAAGATTGTTTTTTTTAAAAAAAAATATATTTCCTTCAGTTTACTGCTTGTCGCACTTATTTTTTTTTAAATTTTATTTTTTAATTACAGTTTACATTCAATATTATTTTGTATTAGTTTTAGGTATACAGCATAGTGGTTAGACAATTATGTGCTTTACAAAGTGCCCCTCCACCCCCCTATACTTCCAGTACCCACCTGGTACCATGCATAGTTATTACAATATTATTAACCATATTCCCTATACTGTACTTTACACGCCTGAGGTTATTTTGTAACTACAAATCTCTACCTCTCAATTCCTTCACCATTTTTACCCAGCTCCTTAATACCCCCCACTCTGGGAACCATCAGTCTGTTCTTAGTATCTATGAGTTTGTTCCGTTTTGTTTGCTCATTTATTTTGTTCTTTAGATTCCACATATAAGTGAAACGTATGGTATTTGTCTTTTTTTTGCTGACTTAATTTCACTCAGCATAATGCCCTGTAGGTCTCTCCATGCTGTCACTAATGATAGGGTTTTATTCTTTTTTATGGCCAAGTAATATTCCATTGTACATATATACTATAGCTTTTTTAATCTACTTTATTGATGGGCACTTGGGTTGCTTCCATAGCTTGGTTATTGTAAGTAATGCTGCAATGAACATAGGGGTGCATATATTCTTTTGAATTTGTGTTTTGGGCTTCTTCAGATATATACCTAGAAATGGAATTGCCGGGTCATAAGGCAGTCCCATTTTTAATTTTTTTGATGGGCCTCCATGCTGTTTTCCACAGTGGCTGTACCAGTCTGCATTCTCACAAACAGTGCACAAGGGTTCCCTTTCCTCCACGTTCTTGCCAACACTTGTCATTTGTTGATTTATTGGTAATAGCCATTCTGACAGGTGTGAGATGGTATCTCATTATAGATTTAATTTGCATTTCTCTGATGATTAGTGACATTGAGCTTCTTTTATATGTCTATTGGACATTTATATGTTCTCTTTGAAGAAGTGCTTATTCAGGTTTGGGTTTTGTTTGGTGTTGAGTTGTATGAGTTCTTTATAAATTTTGGATATTAAGTCCTTATTGGATGTATAATTGGTGAACATCTTCTCCCATTTAGTAGGTTATTTCATTTTGTTGATGGCATTTTTGCCCTGCAAATTTTTTTTTAGTGTGATGCAATCACATTTGTTTATTTTTTCTTTTGTTTCCCCTGCCTGAGGAGATATATCAGGAAAACGGTTGCTAAGAGAAAAGTCGGTGATTTTCCTGCCTATGTTTTCTTCTAGGAGTTTTATGGTTTTGAGTCTTACATTTATACCTTTAATCCATTTAGAGTTTATTATTATATATGGTTTAAGAAGGTGGTCTAGTTTAATTCTATTAGTTTAGTTAGAATCCTGTTGTAAAGAAAAAAAAAAGAATCCTGTATTGCCTCTAGTCTGCATGACCCTCAGATGGTGCCGTAGAACATGGATGCTACTACTGATGGAGATGTGTCTCTGCTACTTTTCCTGATATATCAGCAACTCAAATTTATTACAATTTAGCAAGCAGGAGTCTTTACAACCTTGGTTTTATCAGCCTAAATGTGAAGAGCCCTTTTGGTGATACTTAAGTGTTAGCGAGGAGGAATGAAAAGGAGTGGAGATAACCATTCTTTCAAATATGTAATTTGGTGAAACAAATCAATAGGCTTAAGAGGAAGAGAGAATTGAAAGAGATAACTTATTTTAAAGAATGAAAGTAAGGTTAGGGATACATATTCTGAAAGGACTAGTTTAATATGTACCTGAATGTGTCCCTAGAGATTCTTCTGGAGAGTGTGGAGGTGGAGACAAAGCAAGCCGGATGCCACTGGTTCATCCTTGGATGTGTTCCCACCTCCTGCCCAGGAGGCTGAGCCCCTTCTCACCACGTCAGGGCTCCCTGGCACAGTTTAAAAAACCATACGCTAGGGACCAGAGGTCTGGTTGGCTAGAGGTGTGAGCACCATACCTGCCATTTACCTGTCATTTAAGCTCAGGGAAGGCAGTCATCCTCTCTGAGCTCCAAATTACCCACCTGGATATGGCTACTATTCAGCCCAAGGAGATGATATTTATGAAAGTATGTTTACATAATGTAGTAGGATTTTAAATTTACCCATCTCTTCTGTTATTCAGTGGCTCTTCCTTGCCCTTAAGACTGAATCCAATTCAGCTTTGACTCTAAAAGCCCATCACAGTCTTTATAACACCATTCGTCTTTGAAGGGATTTTAAAATCTTTATTGTTCACATTATTACATTTGTTCCTCTTTCCCCCCCCATAACTCCCCTCCTCCCAGTTCCCACCCCACCCTCTGCCCTCACTCCCCACCCACTGTCTTCATTCATAGGTGCACGATTTTTGTCCAGTCTCTTCCTGCAAAATGCAATGCATTTTAGTAACTTTAACTATATAACCCATAAAAATTAATTTTTAGATTACTGGTTTATGTTTTTTTTTTAAAAATGAACATTGGGAAAGTTTCCATAAGCATGCTGAAAGAAATTACATTATAATCAATACTACTTCATGAAGCAGGACTTCAAAAATAATTTAAAGGATTAATATGACATCCTAATTGTAAATA